TTGTTGTGTTTATTTATTTATTTTTTATATTAAAAGAAATGTTCACTCAATACACTATCAGCAATGCAGTGGATAAAAGAATATTAAAAATAATGCAGTTCAATATGAGGTAGATCAACAGAAGCAATACAATAAAGCAAAACAAATATTCTGTCAGTTATTTAAACTAAATGTTTATTCTCTAAAAATAGCTCTCACAAACAAGTCTTATTGCTAAATTTTAAAATGCTTATATAAAACCTGACGCATAATAAACAAACAATACACAAAAATGAGTGCTGTGATGCTCTCAGCAGCTAAACACATTTGATGTATAAATAATAACGTAAAGGTTGTTGTTCCTTTTTAAATGTTTTCTTCCTGCAGTATTAACCACATGATCAAGTTGAGGCACATTCATAGTGTTTGTTGCTGCTTGTAACAGAGCTGCTGCAGTTCTCCTCCTGAACAGAAGGTGTCACTAATTAAAAGAAAACATGGTAAATATCAGGAATGCCATCGATAAAGGATAAAAATGTCTCAAAGAGATCATTCTCATATATAGACGGAGTAACAATTTTTAAACATTCGTGCTTGTTAAACAAACCTGTTCACAAATAACTGGATCAGATGGTTGTTTGTCTCGTTTGTCTCTATGTGTCCCTGTGATGGACTGGAGACCTGTCCAGGTGTCCCCTGCATCTCACACAGTGACTGCTGGATATGCGTACCAGTGACCCCCGTGACCCGAAAAGAAAGAAGCGGGTAAAGATAATGGCTGTATGGTTCATGAGATATTTTGCAAAGAGCCACACAAACAATAGCATGGATAGATGATTAACTTCTAACATCTTCCACTCCTGTGAAAGTTAGAAAGTGTCCAAAGTGTCATGTTGAGGTTCAGACATGATAAAGCTGACAGATCTGCATCAAACATCTTTCCAAGTGTTTCCTGTAAGGGAACATTGTTTTTGTATGTTTTTGGTTGTCTTTAGCTGTTTTGGCTGTTTTTGGTTGTTTTTTGTTTTGGGCTGGTTTTTGTTGTTGTTGTTTTGGGCTGTTTTTTTGTTGTTGTTGTTTTTGGCTGTTTTTGGCAGTTTTGGGTTATTTTTGGTTGTTTTATCGTTGTTTTTGGTTGTTTTTTTTGCTGTTATTTTTGCTGTTTTTGGCTGTTTTGGGTTGTTTTTGACTGTTTTTGGTTGTTTTTGGCTGTTTTTGGCTGTTTTGGACTGTTTTGGGTTGTTTTGGGCTCTTTTTGGTTGTTTTTGGCTGTTTTTGGTTGTTTTTGGCTGTTTTGGGTTGTTTTTGGTTGTTTTGGACTGTTTTGGGTTGTTTTTGACTGTTTTTGGTTGTTTTTGGCTGTTTTGGGTTGTTTTTGGTTGTTTTGGACTGTTTTGGGTTGTTTTGGGCTCTTTGTGGTTGTTTTTGGTTGTTTTTGGTGGACACAGAATTATTCTGGCCTAGTTTCTCATCCTTACAACTCCTCGTTGTGCAGACCAGCATGTTCTGTGCTTCTTTACATCAAGGCTCTGTCCTTCCCTCTCGGTACGGTACACTGGTGAAGAACCGCCTCACCGTAAATCAAACGTGCGTTCTGATCTTATGTCAGTGTTTAGGACTCAAAGTGCTGCTTTCATGGACAAATATCAACCTGTGAGAAATGTTAGCTGCTGTTGTGTTTCCATGTGGAGCACACTGTGGTACACTGGAGTCTGGGTTCTAGTGAGTCCCTGACTCTTTACACACACACACACACACACACACACACACACACACACACACACACACACACACACACACACACACACACACACATACACACACACACACACACATACACATACACAGGATCTCTGCAGCTCCTCACTGGCAGAACTGGGCTGTTTCCTCTCAGAGTTCAAATGAAGCAGAATTTAAAGCTCACATAAATTAAACCACACTGGTAAAATAAAAGAAAAGAAAATGTTGCAACATGACTTGTTTCTTCAAGGGTTATGCCAAAAGATATGCATCTTCTCCTCAAATATGTCATGATCATCTGAGGTTTTCATTGATTTTATTTAAAGGTTCTTTTTTGGACCACACCTGCTGTTTCCATCATCGAGCTTCTGACTCTGGAGGATGTTGGAGGTGGTGTTGTGCCACGCAACTGTTCACAAGCTTTAAGGCCTTCAGGAAGGCCAGTCCAGAAACAAGGTGAGCCTGATTTGTCCAATCTGAAACAGTTTTGATGTTTGGGATCATCAGATCTCAAGAATTTGAAGGAAGC